CCTCAGCCAGGGTCAACCCACCACAATATCCAAGAGTTTTTCTTATGTGTTCAGTCTGAATTTGCCATCATTTTTCACCTGGCTAATGGTTAAACCATAAAGGCTTCTTTTTGGGGGGGTATACCCTTCTTCTTATATCCAGTTTCCACATTTCTGCTCTCCATGTGATGCTGTTAACATGATGTGCCCCATCACTCATCTGCCTCAGCAAGGAAAGCACCCAGACAGCTGAGTTAGACACCACCGGCCATATTCGTCTTCAGACATCTTTTGACTTCAATTTCCCACTGTGTTAGGGGGAAGGAAAACTGTTCCAGAGGGGATGACAGGGACTGTGGGGTATCTCAATTTCAAAGGTGGGCAAGCAAATGCATGCCCTCATCAGAGACCAACACGTTTGTCCTGTTCAGCCCCATCTGGCAGGCTGATGACGCTGCCAGCGTTTCCTCCCAGCCTTGTAGGTACAGCTAAGTGTAGAGCAATTTAACAGTCTTGTACTGACAAGCTTGTTCCTGTGGTAAAATTCTGTGTGTGCATCTGCAGGGAGGAGGAGGGACAGGTAAGAAACCAGATGGGTCAAAAGAGTCATCACTTTCTGCTGCTCCACAACCTTCCCTGGCCGAACACTTGCTGCTCTCACTGCGCCTGTGCACACTTGCACACTTGCACACTTGCATACATGCTTGCACATGTCTTCCCCTGACTGTTCCCATCTCCCCAGGCCTGCTGCAGCCCTCACTTTGCCATGTGCTCCTGTGCCCCCATTTGCCTTGCCGTGGCAGCATGGTGGTACCTGTCCAGCCTTCTGCTCTGAGCTTCATTTCAGCCTGTGTGTTCACATAACACCACACGAGCAATTTTCTTTTTCCCTCATAATCCCTTCCATTTCTCTGAAGCTATTTCTCACCCTTGGAGGGGGTGATGGTGTTGGTGTTGGTCTCAATGCAGAACCCTCAGGCATTCATCAGTAGGGCCAGCACAAAAAGGGAGAAGTGGGTGCACAAAGTGGGAAGCTACAGGAACTCTAGAAAACAGATTACTCCTAAAAATACTTCATCCTGAAGTGACATTTGAGGGATCACTTGTTCCTTCTGCCCTCCAAGGCCTGGAGCTGGGCAGGCTGAGGATGGTTGACCTCACACCATGGGTGCCATGCACCAGGCAGCACCTTGCACGCTACCGGGATTGGGCCTGCCCATCAGAGAGGCTCATGTGGGGGTCCAGCGGTCCTCCTTCCCCACATAACCAGACACCTCGGGTTCAGCCCTCTCCTCCACCTGGGGGATTTGAAGTCCACCTCTTCCATGAGGCCACATGCTTCCAGGGAGGGGGGGAATGGTTTCTACCCCTGGTCTCAAAGCTCAGGCACTGGCTCACTCTCCACGCTGACTCTAGCAGCTCTTTCCTCCACATCCCCATCCCTCTGGACCCCTTTCAGCAGTGCCTGGATGGCCCACACATACACACAGTGCCCAAGCACCCACTCAGTGCTTTGAGAGAAGGAACCATGATGTTCAAGATGAGCAACATCCTGACCAGCAGCCGCTAGTTGCACAGTTGCAGCCTACCCAGCCTGATGGGACCTTTGTTTTCCATGATGCCTTTTGATCAGCCACCTGGAAGCCCCTGCTGGTGCTGCTGCTGACTGGGTGTGATACCACAGAGTAACACTGGGGCAACAGGCGCGTTGTGAGCTCTGCAAGGATCCTTCCTGAGTCTTGAGACACCAGCATGTAACGCTTTGCAAATCCGCCTCTCAGGCACGTAATTCGCAGGAGCTGCTTTGCTGCTGCTTCAAAGAGGCAGTGCCTGCAGTATTTAAGAACTCTGAGGACACTGCATCTTAACATCCTTTTTTTAGGGGAAACATATTACAGAAAGTCTTACAACAGGAGAAAAAATAGTCAAGGAGGCCAGCCTGCACTGGTCAGTATGGACACTTTTCTACACTGGCAGCAGACAAAGGCAGGTGCCCTAGAGGTACAAACTGCTCTTAAGAGGTGATTTGCCCATCCACCAGCAGAATGGTATCTTTCAGGAGTTGTGTGATTCTCTGACCACCTCCTATGGGAAGTGCGTAATTGTGGTGAGGGACAAAAGGCAGCCAATGCATGTAGGGGCAAAAGATGGCAAGGAGCTGGACACAGGAACCCTGCCACCAGTCCCACCAGCGATCTACGTGTCTGACATTGAGTGTTGCCCTGAAGTTGCTAGAGCCAATGGCCATGACCTTCTTGTTGGGACTTTGTCCTACAACTATCTCTATCCTATGGACATTGCCAGGTCTTCTTTGAAATGATTTATTATGAACAACAGGAAGGACTTTACTCTGAGGTCTGTTGAGAGGACCCACTCCTATAGGTGTATCCTCTCCAGTGACTTGATTGTTAAAGGAATAGAGAAGATGACCCCAAACAAATGGAAGGTAGTGATTAACAGAATGAAGAGATGGAAGAACTGCTACCTTGACACAATTTCTTAAATGGTTCTTCCTGCTGTCAGGCTTCAAATGCGTTTTGATTCATGTTGCATGAGTTACCCTGCTCCAGCTCTGCTGAGCCCTTTCCTTCAAAGGGTGTAAACCTGAGAAACCATGTGTCAATAGCACTAATAAAAGAGATAATTTTAAATCCAAATGTTTCTTTTTAGGTGTATTGCAAGACTAGGTTGATATGCGCTATGCTTGCTCTGGGAAGGGATAATTTACCTTTTCACAAAAATGGGCCAAAGCACACCTGAGATCCAGTTTAGCCCGCCTTCTGCACAAATTCCTCTGTTATGCGAGTCATGAGACCATGCCTCAGATGTAAATGCCCTCAATTTTGAGAAAGACTGAGTTGCCAAATGAATTCTGTTGGTCAGGCCTGTCTTTGACCCGAATAGGAGATCTGCTGCTGAGCAGGGAATATGCTGGACCGTGACTGACACCAGAGTCCACAGCTTAAAGAAGGCTGAAGAATTTAACGCATTAACATCTGATATCAGATCAGTAGCTCATCATACTGAGTACCTCGCTTCCAACTGTGGTCTGAAATAAACATTCCAGTGACAGGTAAAACAAATCTTTCTAAAAGGGAAGTTCCTTTCTGAAGCCTAACAATTAGTAGTTGGTTCAGGCTTTAAATCATGAAGAGTTCAGTCTCTCAGGATAAAATATGTCACTCATCATTGGAGATATTCTTTATCCATGACATCCATTACTGAGATGTAATGATTTCTCACAGAATTGAGTTCAAAAGATTATTTATGAGTGATGCAAGGCAGTATTTCTTAACAGCAGTTTTAAATGTGCACCTTTTCAAGTTCATTGAACACTTTTTTTTTAAAGCAGCTCCCAATTTACATTCTCTGTGTTGCTCATGACTGTGTATGTATTTATTGTGTACTTCTAAGACAGAGAACTAAACCCATAAAAACATAAAAGAATTAAGTTATGATTCACAAGTTTACTAAAACACTTCAATACACTGAGGCAAATCTGCAGTTTTTCTCCTGTGTGTGGAAACCATCTAAAGGAGCATTGTAATTTGGTGTGGCAGAGAGATACCTAAAAAAGGGAGTCTCATCTACCTTCAGAAGAATCTGTGCATGTAATTCTCTAGAGCTGAGTTGTGAATATACAGAGAAAAATAACCATCTTTTCTCAGCTTCATATTCATCAGCAAAAACATCTGCTCATTTTTTACAAATATGGATGTAGTAGAGAATGGAAAATTAGGTGCTTCAAATGCAAGGTGGGGGGGGGGGAAGGGGAGAGACTGGAGAGGGGCAGGAATGTTTTTATTGTCCTGATATCATGTCCCTGAAGATAATTTCCCATTGGCTTGAAGCAACAATTGCTCCACTAAATATTGATGAAGTGGTGTGAAATCAGCATGAGGAAAGAGATAGTTCCAGTGCCTCTTTACTGCAAGGATAGGCAGTAATTGCACACTAGCTTGGTTTTCTTAGGAAAGAAATGATGCACACCCAATTTTCCCAATGACTGTTTACCTTCACCCGATGACACTGCACCATACTATTGGGGAGAAGTAACAGTGCGCTATAGTCAAACCAGCACAAGCCTGATGACTTCATTGCTGTGTTCTGGATTCACATGAAGAAGAACGAGACCAAACCTGAACGGAGCAGAGTCCTGGACTGCTGCCTCACCACAGCTCAGCTTTACCGGTCTCTGCTGCCATGGCTTACGCAGCTGTGGGTTTACGGCCACATTGCAACACTTCTTCATCAGTTGGGTGTGTCTTCTGCCATCCCTGATGCGCGGTGGAGTCCATGGGACCAGGTATAGAATCACCTGCTTTCCATCCATTTTAGCAACGAGGAAGTATCAAAAGGAAGTAATTTGTGTCACAGGAATTTATCAGTCTTTCCTGGTTGGTATTCTTTGGTAAAACAAGGGTGAAGCCTCCATGAGGGGTTTCATGGAAACAAGCATGAGGAAAGAGGAAGTGTTTGGTGCCACATCTCCCAGAGAGTGAGGGAAAAACATCCTTTCCCTGCAAAGGGCTGGGAAAGCCTCGCTAAACACCTTCACTCTTCCCAGCCTGGGAGGTTGAGGCCTGGTGAAACTTTTCTATCCAGTCCTATTTCGTGTGTATGGAAACCTGTGGGCAGGAAAAAGAATGGAGTCTGAAATCAAATGTACTTTGGTATTTTATATAAAATCCTCTGAGACGAGTCATCGTCTTTCTTCCTCCCTCCCCCTTTGCTGCTGCATAAGGGTAATTACAACCCATGTTTTCTACAAAACGTTGTAACCCTCTGTACCAAAGAAAAATATTGTGGCTCATACAGTTCTGACTCAACTGGTAATTTAGGACGACAAGCAATTCCTTTAACATATGACTAAACAAGCTAATAGGAGGATGTTACCAAATAGCAGGCACCTTATTCAAGAGCACTTGAAATAGCATGGATGAGTCCAGTACCTTCTTGGTAGGACTTTAAATACTCATTATTTTATTAGGTTCACTAGCAGTAGCTCTTGTAGTGACGCTCAGTACACTTGACCATTGCAGGATGTCAAAGCAAATCTCTTTGTTCCCACTCACAACTCTCTCTATGTGACTGAAATGCACCACTAGAATAAAATGATTAAAGTATCTTTGCATAAAGAGGAGAGGCAGATGCAAATGCATATGTTGATGAAGAAGCTATAACAGATGTCTCTCTGCTCTAAGCTAGCTGGAATGCAAATCACCTGAATTTTCATGATGTCTCATTGACTAATTACTTCTAAGTGCTTTTCCAAGCCTTGTCTTCATGGAAAAAACCCATTTATTTTCCTCCAGCTTATGAAGCAGGCCTGTAATAATTGGCTCAACACATTTTTTTCCCCCTATTTTCAAGTCCTCTGTCCTAATAGCATGCTGCAACCCAGGGTACAGGTGGGACAAATGCACTTGGGGCAAGAGCCTACAGAGACCCAAGCCAGGGACAAAATGATGGGACAGGAGGTGTGAACTTCTGGGATTGAGCAGGCAGAGCGGGGCCCATTTTGTGCCGTGCCTGAGAACTAGAAGGCTGGCCAGGTAGTGGAAAGGCAACCAACATTGCTCAAAGCCCAGCCTCTGTCTCTGTGAACTTGTTCCTTGATAGCAGCAGCCTCACGCTCACAAGCCCTGGTCCTTATGGGGGACTTCAACCACCAGCAGACGGGAGGGACAACACAGCTGAGTGTAAGCTATCCAGGAAGTTCCTGGAATGTGTCGATGAC